GAAACTTAGAAGATAGGTGCAGGAGGAGGCCATTCAGCCCTTCGAGCCTGCTCCGCCATTCATCACGATCATGGCTAATCGTCCAACTCAATTCCCTAATCCTGCTTTCTCCCCATAATCTTTGATCCCATTCACCCCAAGTGCTATATCTAGCTGCCTCTTGAATACATTCAATGTTTTGGAATCAACTACTTCCTGTGATAATGAATTCCACAGGCTCACCACTCTTTGGGTGAAGAAATGTCTCTTAATCTCCTTCCTAAATGGTCTACCCCGAATCTTCAGACTGTGACCCCGGTTCTGAACACAGCCACCATTGGCAACATCCTCCCTGTCCAGTCCTGTTAGAATTTTACAAGTCTCTATGCAATCCCCCCTCATTCCTCTGAACTCTAGAGGAAACAATCCCAACCTAGTCAATCTCTCCTCATACATCAGTCCCGCCATCCACGGAATCAGCCTGGTAAACCTTCGCTGCACTCCCTTGAGAGCAAGAGCATCCTTCCTCAGAAAAGGAGACCAAAACTGCACACAATATTCCAGGTGTGGTCTCACCAAGGCCCTGTATAACTGTAACAACACATCCCTGCTCCTGTACACGAAACCCCTGGCAATGAAGGCCAACATACCATTTACCTTCTTTACCACCTGCTGCACCTGCATGCTTACCTTCAGCAACTGGTGCACAAGGACATTGAGGTCCTGCTGCACAGTCCCTTCTCCCAATTTACAGCATACAGCATCTGCAATAATTGATCCTACATTGTGCCTTTAAATTTGTCTTTTTAACATTTGTTCTGAATTTTGATCCTCTTTGATGCTGCCCTCTGTTTCTACTGCTTTCCACTTTCACTTGTTACTTTCCTTCCTACCATATACAGCTTTGTTTCTGTCCTATCTGAATTGCTGCCTCAGTGAACTAGCAATGGATGTGATGAGCTCAATGACCACTTTCTGAACTGTGACCATTCCATGCTGTTATTCAGGACTTTTCCTTATTCACTTGTGTGATGCATGTGTCGCTGTATAGGCCAGTGCTATGGCCTGTCCCTAACTGACCTTTGAGAAGGTGGTGGTGAGCTGCCTTCTTGAACCGCTGCAGTCCATGTGCTGTAGGTACAACCTATAGCTGTGTGCAAATATTAGAGGTCATGAACATTAAGCAGAAGTAGGCCATTCAGCCCCTTGAACCTGCTCCACCATTGAATGGCTGATCTCATTTTGGCCTGAACTCCACTTCCCTACCTGCTGTCAATAACTCTCCAACCCATTACAAATTCGAAAGCTATTTCCTCACTCAATTTACTCAAAGTACGAACGCAAGAGCACCCAGTATTATCTAAAAGCAGAATAATGGTGGAAAAAAATGGAAATAAGACAGTGGGAATGGTGATAGATCAGACAGCCACATGGTGAGGAATGACAAATTGCCCTAGTTTTACCAGACCATAGGGCTGCTCTTAAACGAGAGAGAGAGACACGCGCAGAGGCTGGTAGCTTAACCTGAGGGTCACCATTGCTTAGGTGAGGGGAAAGGTTGAGGAAAGTGTATGGATTGAACCCAGACTAACAGCATTACACTGTTTCCACAAACCAACCCCAGGTAAGGGATAACAAGGTGTAGAGCTGGATGAACACAGCAGGCCAAGCAGCATCAGAGGAGCAGCAAGGCTGACGTTTCGGGCCTAGACCCTTCCCCGAAATGTCAGCCTTCCTGCTCCTCTGATGCTGTTTGGCCTGCTGTGTTCATCCAGCTCTACACCTTGTTATCTCAGATTCTCCAGCATCTGCAGTTCCTACTATCTCCTAGGGCTAGATTGGTTATCAACTAGGTCCTAGGTCCCTTACAAGCGTCCAAACACAGAGACTGGCACACTATTCACCAGTAAGGGCATCACACTTGAGCCCAGGCCTATCTTCCCCACTTAAAAACCCGCCCATGTTCACTGTCACCCTATCATATTGAGTCTCGCTCTCTACAAGCCCGTAATGACTTTGCCCCTAACCATATCCCCTGACCAGCCCCCCTTCCTCCACCATCACTGTACTTGGATGACATGTTCAATGCTCCACAAAATGGTTACTGACCTCTCAAACTGATTTCACATTGATGTTTAAAGCTGCCAACAGAGGCTTAGGTGCAAGGCTGATGTCCCACCATCAGTCGGCAGTTTCTGTTTGGATAGTGATTGGAGGTATCATAGTGATCAGCTTAGACCCTCACTGTTGGTATTTTGTTCTGTCCTCAGACCGACTCACAGTGACCTACTGTCGGAGCAGTGGCCCTGGAGGGCAGAATGTCAACAAGGGTGAGGAGACTGCTTGCTCAATAACATCAGATTTTCCTGCTCTCACAGGCTACAGACCACCGTCACCTTGGCTCGATGCTGTGTGACCCTCATCCAAGGGGATTCACCTCTGGTTCAACTGGAAGTGACAACATATTGAGTTGTATCATGTTCTTCTCTGGAATCCTGACTGGTTGATTGGGGAGCTTACTGCATCGTGATCAGGAGCTCGAGTCCTGGCTGTTTTTCAATTCTGCATCCACCCAGGGACTTAGTCTGTCACTAACCCAGATGAGCAGCAGAGATACCTGGACTGTTTTAGCAACAGGGCTGACCACAGTTTGACTGAGATTCACTACCCACTCCACATGTGGCCTACCAGTACTCATGGGAAAAATACCCACGTGTGGTATAACCCTCATAAAGGGTACAGGAGGTGCTCACCCTCAAGAGGGGTAAGGGAGGTGCTTACCGCTCCCAGTGGTATTGGGGTGGGCGCAGTCCCTCGGGAGGGGGATATGGGAGGTGTCGGCTCTCGGGATGGGGATATGGGAGGTGT